CTGCAGAGGAGGGGCGGGGTCAGGAGGCTGGGACTGTCACCACATGGCAGCGTTGGGCAGTCTGGCTGGGTGGCGGGGGTGCTCTGTGGGTGGCACTGTGTCTGGGAGCTTCATCCTGGCATGTTTTCAAAGAGATCTGATGGAGGCATACCAACCCGCTTTCAGGGTTTAATCTTGCCTCCTTTGGAGCTGGGGTGGGGAGAGAGGAGGGCAGCTGAGTGGACATGGTGGGCTCTGGGAGCAGGGAGCTGGGGTCTGAATCCTGGCCCTAGTTTGTCTGGCCTTGACCAGCTGAGCTTTAGAGACCCAGGCTCTTAAATGGGGGTGATCAGGTTATCCCCCTTGACGGGAGATACGGAGTAAACGAGATTGTGCAGGTGAAACACACAATCCAGTGTAGCCTAATTACTAAACGCTGTAAAATAGGGATGGAAGTGTTAATCGCTTAGTTGTGTCTGATTCTTTGCGATCCCGTGGACTGCAGCTGCCAGGCTCCTCTGTTCATGGGATTCTCCAGGCAAGAATACTGAAGTGGGTTGCCATTTCCTTCTCCAGGGGATCTTCCCGATCCAGAGATTAAACCCAGGTCTCCTGCATTGCAGGCAGATTCTTCAGCATTGAAAAAGCAAGCAAGGACTTCTCCGGCAGTCCAGTCGTTAAGACTCCACACTTCCAGTACAAGGAGCACAAGTTCAATCCCTTAGTGGCGAGCTAAGACCCCACGTGCCTCGTGGTTCGGCAAATAAATAAATATTCAAAAAGAAAGAAATAGCAGGCAGTTGTTAACACCTATCTTAGCATGAAGCCAGCTGCAGGTAAGAACAGTATACTGGTCCCACCGCAGGGAGTTGGAAGCTCACTGGAGGTGAGGGTGGCTGATGTCCCCCACAGCTCACTGCTGCAGACCTCTCCTCCAGGGAGTTTCCAAGTTTGCTTCCCTTGCCACTGGCTGTAGATAAGAGGTTTCCTCTCTCATTCGGCCCCATGACAATGCTGATTAACCCCCATTCCACAGATGGGAAGCCTGAGGTGCCACCTGTTCGGTGACTTGCTCAAGGCGGATTTGCTCTGATGGAGGGCCTCCTGGCTTTGGGGTGCAGTGGGCACAGCTGATGGGCAGTGGCTAGATATAGCCCCACTTCCCAGGTTGTGGCTGCTTCTGTTCCTCAGCTGCCTTGTGGCTTGGCTCTGAGTCCTTGTGCAGATGCTGCACTTGACTCAGCACCCCTCCCCCCACCCTCCAGGCCTTTTTCCCATACAGTCACTCAACAGACATTTACAGGCACTGTCCTGCGGGCTGCACGCTAGCATCTGGGGATGTGACGGTAAATCAGGTGTCGTCTGTGCCCTGAGGGAGAGGTGAACATGGCAGAGAGTGGGGGATGATTGCGGAGAAGAAACCTGGGCCAGGGGGCAGGTTGCTAATACTGTGGGTTTACAGGGCCCCACTCCCCACCCCCATCCAGGCAGCAGCAGGTATTCTGGGCTAGGAATCAGCTTTGCAATGTGAAAAGTTCAGAGTGGCAGCCTGTCGTGTCATCTTATCAGAAGCAGGGGTCGTGGAGCTCTGGCCTGAAAGCAGCTGTCCCCTGCCCACTTGCCCACTGTCCATCTCCCCAGACTAGGGGAGGGCCCCCGTGGGAAGGGGTGGCTCCAGAGAGAACTTGGTGGGGGGGCAGGTGCCTTGGCGAGCCCAGGTGTGATCACTCAATTCCGGAATGATCAGCGTTGACCACACCTCACCCCGCTGCACCCTTTGTAGCATGTTCGCAGCTCCTCTATACAAACATATATGGAATTCAGGCTGCATCTTGCCTTCAAAATTATGAACTGTTGATCCATTGCCCACCTTTTGGCTCCATCTCATCAGAACCTTTCTTCCCACAGCAGGGGTCCACACTCCCCTTTTATTTTAGTTTTATAGGATTTTTCACTGATAGAATCTCAATCATGTAACCAGAAGCCTTTGGCAAGCAGATTTGGAAGCCCCTTTTCTTAAAATGACAACACAGGAAAGATCACATATAAAGCTCAGCACCTGTGTTAACTTCCACGTGTCTCTAAGGCCTGAACTGGTGAAGCTGTGTATCGCTTTGTCTCCCACCTTTCTAGGGAGGCCCCCACAGCTCTAGATAAGCAGAATTTGAGATTTCATTGCCCTAAGATCACCCACTGTGGTGCTGGAGAAGACTCTTGAGAATCCCCTGGACAACAAGGAGATTAAACCAGTCAGTCCTAAGGAAATCAGCCCTGAATATTCATTGGAAGGATTGATGCTGGAGCTGAAGCTCCAATACTTTGGCCACCTGATGAGAAGAGCCAATATTGGAAAAAACCCTGATGCTGGGAAAGATTAGGACAGGAGAAGAAGGGGGCGACAGGATGAGATGGTTAGATGGCATCACTGACTCAATGGACATGAGTTTGAGCAAACACTGGGAGATGGTGAAGGACAGGGAAGCCTGGAGTGCTGTAGGTCATGGGGTCACAAAGAGACAGGACTGAGCGACTGAACAACAAGACCCCTACAGAAGCAGGTTTCTGATATCAGGATCCACCTATCAGTGTATCTGCTCATCCATTTAAAAAATGTATTCAGACACAGAGAGGGCTGAGCATCTATTCTGCTGGGACTCATGTTGTGAGCTGGGGTTACCAAAATGCGTACATAGCATATGACCTCCAGCCTGGAGTCAGCTGCAGTCCTGCAAGGATGGTTGACAAGTACGAGGACAATTAAAATCATCCCAGGATAGCAAATGCTGGGATGAGGGTCAGCATGGGGAGACAGAGAAATCTATACCAGTGGGTGGGTGGTGGTCAGGGAGAGCTTCTCGGAGGAAGTGACACCTGGGCTGAGTCTTGGAGATACAGAGGGATTCACCAGGCAAAGAGGGAGGAAAAGACATCAAGTGAAGTATGTGCAAAGGCACCAGGGCAGACGTGCTGTGGTTGTTTTGCTGGGCCATGTTGTGTGTGTGTGTGTGTGTGTGTGTGTGTTTACACACATGTGCACGCCATGAGGAAGCAGAAGGGAAGGGCCCAGCAAGAGACGAGCTGCTTGGGCTGGCTCAGGAAGGGGGCCTTGTATGTCACGCTAAGGAGCTTGGAGTTTATCCCAAAGCCACAGGGAGCTATTGAAAGGGGTTTTAAACAGGGGAGTGCCGTGATCAGATTTGCGTGTTAGGAGGATCACCTTGGCAGCCTTGCAGAGGATGGATTGGAGGGGCCAAAGCTAGAGGCAGGGGGATCAGTCCGGATTTCTTGGGATTTTCTCTGTGGTTTTACAAATCTGACGAGGCTAGCTGGGGTGGGCCTGGCACACACCAGCTTAGAGAGAAAATAAAAGCTCTGGAGACCCGTCTGAAATGGCTCCCAGGCTCAGCATTTAATTCCACCTTCATTTGCTAACTCCCTACCCTGCCACCCCTGCCCCAGCCTAAAGGACCCACTGGACCCCCCTAATTCTCAGATCCTACCCTCCCCAGAAGCATCAGAAACTGGCGGCTCTCGGCATTGAATCAGAAAGGGTCATGCTGGTCTGACACTACCCCCTCCCAGGCCCTGGAATGCCAGGCCACAAGAGCCCAAACGTTGTCTTTCCTCTCACACCCGGCCACTGTCCCCAGGGCACAGAGCAGCCATTGAGGGGCCCGGGGTCCTGGCGGGGGGCCCGGGCCTGTTAGCTACAGGCAGCGGCTGAGTCACGCTCCTCGGAGCCTTTCAGCCCGAGACAAGCCTGTCCTTGTGTTCTGGGCTGTCCTTACCCAGCAGCCCAGCTCGCAGCAGCTGCAGGCCCCTCTGCCAACCCCCGCCAGTGCACTTCAGAGGCGCCGTCAAAGCCCAGTGTGAGAGCTGAGTCCGGGGGAGCAGAGGGCCACCCTGGGAAGGCTGCTCCGAGAGCCTCCTTGCTTCTCTGCACCAGGAGTCCAGCCTCTGCTGACAGGTGCCCGGCCCCGGGGGCTCTCCTGCTCTGGTGTCCTCCCTTCAGGAAGCAAGGAAGACTATGCAAGTCCACTCCTCCTCTGCGCCCTCTCCTGGGTTAAAACCAACCCACCTCTGTAGAAGCATGTCCGAAAGACAGTTTGCAGCCCCGGTACACACATGCATTGAGCACCTGCTGTATACTCATGCCCTGGCCTGAGTGCACATATAGGTAGTAGGGTCTCGTTACAGCCTGGGCCACGTGGGGGTTCACAGTTCAGGCTCTGAATTCACGCTGTTCCAAACCTTGGCTCCTCTTCTCCCCAGTTGTGTGACTTTGGGAAATTTACTTAGTCTCCCTTTGCCACAGTTTCCTCATCTGTAAAATGGGGGTAATGCTGTATGTATCTCTCTCTCTGGGTTGGGGTGAGGATTAAATGAGATGATACATAAAGTGTCTAGCTCAGAGCCTGGCATATAGTTTAAGGATTCATACAAGGTCACTGCTGCTGTTTTTCCTCCTTCCTGTTGTCATTAGTGGATTGTCCTATTGCTCCAGGGTAGAGCGTTAGTTCCATTTTACAAATGAGGAGACTGAGGCCCCATGAACTGAAATAGCCCACCTGCTGTCACATAGTCGTCCAGCGGCAGAGCTGGAGTTGGAACCAGGCTCTCTGTCCCTTGCTTCGCATAGCCAGACCCTTTGGCTGACAGAACACGGAGGCGTGGGGCTCCTGACCCTGGGGCAGTGGGAGAGGTGGACCCTCCCATCGCCTCTAAGCGCCCTTTCTCTTTTCCAGGTTTCGGAGCCAGGACATGAAGGTCGCTAGAACCCAGGGATGGCGAAGTTCCTGACACTTGGGCAGAAGCTACAGCTGCAGGGCCCAGGGCCGGAGAGCAGTGATGGTGCTATCTGAGCACCTGCTGGAAACAGGGCAGGAGGAGCAGTAACCCCAGGAGAGAACAGGCTGGTGCTGGCATGCGGGGATGACACCTCCGGAGGCTCCGGCCTCCTTCCCGCCTGGGTGCTAGGAGCCGTCCCCGGGCTCCAACTGGGAGCCCTGCCGCCCAGGGGCATGGCCAAACCTTTCTTCCGACTCCAGAAGTTTCTCCGCCGGACGCAGTTCCTGCTCTTCTTCCTCACGGCCGCCTACCTGATGACCGGCAGCCTGCTGCTGCTGCAGCGGGCCCGCGTGGGCCTCCCACCGGGCCCCCGGGCCCCTGGCCCGCTGCAGGCCCTGCCCGTGGCCGCTGTGGCACTGGGCGTGGGCCTACTGGACAGCCGAGCCCTGCATGACGCCCGGGTCAGCCCGGAGCTGCTGCTCGGCGTGGACGTGCTGCGGGGCCCCCTGGCCCGGCCCCGGCCCGGCCCCCGCTGGCTCCGCAGCCGCAACTCGGAGTTGCGCCAGCTGCGGCGTCGCTGGTTCCATCACTTCATGGGGGACCCCCCGGGGCCGCCCGTGCTGAGCCCCGAGGCCCCCCAGGCAGCCACCAGCAGCCGAGGTAGGTGCTTAGTCTGGGTTCCCTTACACATATGGGAGCTCTTCCCGGGAGCCCCATTTCGGGGCACAGGACTGGTGTCCACTCTCCCTGGCCCTGGCTGCAGCCTGAGAAGTGGGAACTGAGGGCCCGTGGCCTTCCCACAGCCTGCTTCCCCCAGCCCCACCATAGACGGGAGGGGCCTGAGAGGGGAAGCCCTTGGTAGTTTTGCTCACTCCCTAGCTGGACTGCATGTGCTGGGGGTTGAGATGTGTAAGCATCTTAGAGCTGAGACAGACCTGAGCTTAAATCCTGGCTCATTCCCGAAACTTACTGGGTGACCACGTCTCTTAATTTCTCTGTCCCTTGGAGTTGGAGGTCGAGATACCTGCCCCAGGGTTGTGGTGAGGATTAAATGTGATAATGTACAGCAGCAGTTCGGTAAGTGGGATCCCAGGCCGGCAACCCAGCACCACCCAGTAGCTTGTTGCAAATGCAGGTTCTCAGGTTCTTTCGGACTCCCCAAGTCTCGAACTCTGGGGTGAGGGCTGCAGAACTGCAGGCTGCAGTCTGGGGCAGCATGGTCTCCAGGTGGTTAGCATGTGCACTGAGGCTGAGGACCACTGGACTAGGGGGCCTATTGTATGCACTGGCAGTCAGGAATTATTATTATTATTTAATAACAATAGCTGACTTGTGTAGCAGTGACCGCATACCTGTAAGTGTTGTATTTACAGGCGCTATTATTATTGTTATGGGGCTTCCCAGGTGGTGCTAGTAGTAAAAAGCTACCTGCCAATGTAGGAGATGTAAGAGACACAGGTTTAATCCCTGGGTCGGGAAGATCCCCTAGAGGGCATGGCAATCTACTCCAGTATTCTTGCTTGAAGAATCCCATGGACAGAGGAGCCTGGCAGGCTATGGGCCATAAGGTCACAAAGAGTCAGACATGACTGAAGCGACTTAGCATGCATGCACTATTATTATAATTCAGTTTTGCAGGTGAAGAGGCATGGAAGTTGTTAAGTAAATTCTCCAAGATCATTCTCTTAGTTTTGGTTCCTTGGAAGCAAACCCTGAAACTGGGATTCACATGGATGTGGTTTGTTTTGGATGCGACCCCAGGAACACTGGTAGGGAGTGGGAAGTGAGACAGGGGAGGAGGTGGCCAGTACAGGGTGTGTTATGGAGCAGATGGGGACTTGGAATGAGGGTAGAACCTGCATCTTAGGGTGCAGCCTGGAGACAGCAAGGCTGGGGGGGACACGGGCAGGGCACTGACCAGAACTGCTGGAGTCACACCACTGGGACTCCATCATGGGGTCAGCCTGGCTCCAGCTTGGAGCTCTTAGCACTGAGTTATCCAGACTGTGCGGGGCCTAGAGACTGAGCCTGTGTGAAGTGAGCACCCAGGGAGTGTCAGAGCCGTTGTTGGGTGGTGACTGATCTCAGACAGTGTCTCAGCATCTCTGTCACCACCTTATTTGATCCTGTGCAAATCGCTGGAAAAGCGCTCTCCTGAGTGTAAGAAGTGTGGTTGGAGCTTTGAATCCTCAGTGGCAGGATACAGAAGAAGATGGTGGCCTGATACAGTGAAGACCACAGGACTATGCCTTCTGTAGAAGAAACTTCCATAGAAGGAAGTGTCATCTGAAATCCTCTAGGTCATAGTCCTTGTGTGGGATTCCTCAGCAAGGCTTCCATGTAAGAATGAGGGAGAGTCAAGGAACCATTTCTGTAACTCATTTCATATGGTTATAATTTCTATAAACTCCTCCCAACACATCAAGAAGCGGAGTCTCTATCAAGGAGATGCCAGTGTAACTCATTTATACTAAGGTATAAAGGACTGACCAAAGTCACCATGGATTTCTTATAAAGAAGGCATGGAAAGAGCATGGATTTTGAAAACAGACCTGAATTTGTCTCTTGGTATTGCCAGTTATTGACTCTATGACCTTGGCAAATTAGCCATGATTCCTCTTTTTATTTTTCTCAGTCCACACTTAGCACATATGAGTCTCCATGTGGGCTCTTCACTTTACACTTGAGGAGCTGCGTCTGTGGTGGTGGAATCAGATATGCATCTAGATGATTACTGCCTAGCATGACTGAGGCGTAAGAGAGGCACATGCAAAAGGCTTGGGGCTCGTTACACAGAAGTGACAAGTTCTTAGTAACCTGGCTTCAGGGTGACTGGCCAGGAGAGAGGAGCACTTGGGGTGACCTGGTTACAGCCCCGTGTGTAGAATATCTACATCCTGGAGAACCAGCGGGCACTCTTTAAGTCATCATTTAAAGAGGCGATGGAAGAGGCTGTAGTGAAAGCTGAAGGCAGTGGTGAGATCCAAACACGACAGACCATCACCTATTACACACCAGGGTTTCTGTCCTGAGTCTCTGAGTACCTTCTGCACTCTGGCTGACCCTCCCTGGTGACCCCTAAACCTGGCAAGGAAGGGGTTAATGCCTAGTTCAGCGGGAACAGTCAAGCTCTGGTGTTTTTGTTTTTCCCATTTATTTTTATTAGTTGGAGGCTAATTACTTTACAACATTGCAGTGGTTTTTGTCATACATTGAAATGAATTAGCCATGGATATACATGTATTCCCCATCCCGATCCCCCCTCCCACCTCCCTCTCCACCCGATCCCTCTGGGTCTTCCCAGTGCACCAGGCCCGAGCACTTGTCTCATGCATCCAACCTGGGCTTGTGATCTGTTTCACCCTAGATAATATACATGTTTCGATGCTGTTCTCTTGAAACATCCCACCCTCGCCTTCTCCCACAGAGTCCACAAGTCTGTTCTATACATCTGAGTCTCTTTTCCTGTTTTGCATATAGGGTTATCGTTACCATCTTTCTAAATTCCATATATATGTGTTAGTATACTGTAATGGTCTTTATCTTTCTGGCTCTGTATAATGGGCTCCAGTTTCATCCATCTCATTAGAACTGATTCAAATGAATTCTTTTTAATGGCTGAGTAATATTCCATGGTGTATATGTACCACAGCTTCCTCATCCATTCGTCTGCTGATGGGCATCTAGGTTGCTTCCATGTCCTGGCTATTATAAACAGTGCTGTGATGAACATTGGGGTGCACGTGTCTCTTTCAGATCTGGTTTCCTTGGTGTGTATGCCCAGAAGTGGGATTGCTGGGTCATATGGCAGTTCTATTTCCAGCTTTTTAAGAAATCTCCACACTGTTTTCCATAGTGGCTGTACTAATTTGCATTCCCACCAACAGTGTAAGAGGGTTCCCTTTTCTCCACACCCTCTCCAGTATTTATTGCTTGTAGACTTTTGGATCAAGCTCTGGTGTTGAATGGTGACAATTCAGACCAGTCCATGCCTCTCATCAGTTATTCAATATTTTGAACATCCCCCAGGATTGGAGGAAGAACTCGCCCTGGGAGAGGCAGTGGTGTCACGCAGCTGAAGATCTTCAGAGGAAGTGGGGAGAGGCAGGCACTGGCCCTAGAACCCTCTGGGAGCCCCCTTCCTCTCTTGGGGCTCTGTGGGGCCCTGCATAGCCAGGCTGGCCTCCCTGGTGGAGGCCCGCCCTCGGGACAGCTGCTGGAGCTGCAGACAAAGAGGGCATCTCTTCGCAGCCCCGGGCAGCCCGCCATCCTCCTGTAAGGGGATCCGGCAAGGCTTGGAAGCCGCAGGAGGCCCCATCAATCACTGAGCATTTCATTATACCTTGGACAACATCCATAATGGAATAAAATGTCAGTAAGTTTACTAGGGGAAAAATAGTAACTTCTCCATAGCCAGTTTGTTTTTTATTGATAGTAATTTCCAAAGACATTCCAATATCTCCGAAGCCATCGTTAATAGCCTCACGGCATGTCCATTTTGATGTGCAAATGAACAGATGCAGAGTCACAGACAATAATGCATCGCCTCCGTTTCAGCCGAAAGTAATAAATCCGCCTCAGAATGTGTCCCAGTGCATCCCTGGGAAGTCCTTTCTTTCTACACATTCCCGCCTCTGTCAGGGAGTTAGAAAAGCCATTCATTATTTTTCCAGGAGAAAAGACTCACCTCCTCCTCACGAATGGGGGGAGGTATCTGGGTCTTGCTACAAACAGAGACCGGGCCAGCCGGGCGTGGGTGTTCCTCCAGACTGGTCAGTTCCACCCACCAGCCAGCTGGGAGCTGGCTAGCCTCTCCTTGTTTTTGAAGAACCCAATCCTGACCGCTCGAAACCCTTTCTTTCTCTTTTATTAATGTGCTCTGCTAATATTTACGGAGCCATCGGCACTCCCGGCCCCAGGTTACAGTGTAGGATGAGAATAATAATAGCTGTCGCTTATCCGAGCATCTGTTGTATGCCAACCATTGTTCTGCCTAGATGGACATCTGTTATCTCATTTAATTTAATCTTCAAACAGCCTTATGATGTCAGCAGTGCTATCACCATTTTAATGATGAAGGGTTTGCATTTTGGGGAAGTAAAGTAATCTAAAAGTGTTTATTATTAATAATGACACATTGCAACAATAACAGTCACCCCTGAGCTTGTACTACCTGCCACGCCTGCATTAGATAACTTTCCATGTTAGCTCATGGCATTCTCACAACCCCCCATGAATTCCGTGGGACGGTATGCTTCACAGATGCGGAAGCAGAGGCTGCACATGCCAGGTCACGCAGCCAGACAAAGCAGAGCCTGGATTTGAAACTGAGGCAGCACATGTCCAAGAGCTTCTTCTTCCCGCCCCGCCCCGCAAATGTGTATGTGCCAGTCTCAGCCTCCAGGGGTCTTGAGCCCAGTCACCTTTAGAACCTCCTGGTTAATTTCCCATCAGCGGTGATAATTGTTTAACAACCCCCAAGCTTGTGTTTTGGATGTTTACTTGAAAGCTGTAATAGAATTTCGTCTTTGCTGAGCAACACATGTCAGAAATTTCTCAAATATTAGTTTTCTTTTACTAACTAGGCAGGCTAAGGAGAACGACTGGTTCTCACTGACCTGGGTGAAAGCTTTCTGGTCTCGGTAGTACTGAGATTTATATGAAGAGAGAGAAGCTTGCAGGGCCTGGGTGTCTGGAGCCCCGAGTAGAGGAGTGGAGCTTGTATCCATGGATGGACACTGGGTGTGGCCATGTGTGTGCTGGCAGGCATCCCAGTGAAGGTGGCCTCAAGAGGGTCATAGCCTGGAAGGGGGCAAGACCCTGTGGCAGACATTGAAGGTCTTTGCTTTCGCTGAAGCCCAGAGTTCTCTATTCTGAGGTTTCTGGGTCTTCAACCTTTTCTGGCATGACAGAGAGTCCTGTCTCCCACCATCTTAGTCATCTTCCCTTGCCTGGCCTTTTTTTAACCAGGGCCCCTGGGAATTGCACATTGGTGTAGCCAATAGGACCAGCCCCTCCCTGCATTTGGGCTCCCTGCTTTCCCTCTTGCATCCTCACAGGATGTCAGTGTGGGTTTTAGGAGCTCTGAGCCACTGTTGGCATCATGTCTGACCTTGGCAGCGAGTCATCACCTAAGGGGAAGTTGTTGTCCCTGCCCTCAACGAGCATGGTGCAGAGATGAGAAACACAGGTGTACATGATTCTTAACAACATTTAATGATCAGGATTTGCGTGCAGCAAGTTTTTCAGACACTCAGTGTAATGGTGCAGGGAAAAGAGAGGCTGCAGAAGACTGGAGTGGTCAGGGCTGTAAGCCTTACCATCAAGGATGAGTAGGAAGCAAAGAGTGGATGTGCAGGAAGGAGCAGGGACATGACCAGATGTGGGTGGGAGAAACGAGCAAGGGGAGGGGGAGGGTGCCTTTATCCATTTGACAGTTGAGGAAACTGAGGCACAGAATGTTGAAATGATTTAATCAAGGTCAGAGACAGTTTTAAGCATGCTGTTCATACCCAGGAAAGTCATCCCTGATTCACGTCCCCAGGAGTGTGGGCTGGCAGACTTACTCCTTCAAACCACTCTGCTGGTGGTCCTGAGCTTCTGTTTTGGACCAACTTCTTGGCAGGAGTAATCAGCACCAGTCTCACCAGTCTCTCCTGATCTGGGAGCTCCAGGATTGGTGGACGAGATGGTCACTCCTTCCCGCAAAGCCGTTTGGGAGCTGGTTGGTTATGGGGAGGCCTTGGGCACAGTGCTTCCCGGAGACGCCCAACTTCCAGAGGCTACAGTGTGCTGCTCAGGTGCCACTTGAGACATCCTGGAGCTGAGTGCCAACATTTCCCCAGAGATGGGCAGCATCTTCATCATGGGTGCCTGATCCAGATCTGGGCGCAACTCTTGTGGGTGTGCGTTCACAGCTCGGACGGTGTGATGGTGTGTTTGCAAACTCCTGATGCATAGTTCCTTCAATGCGCTGTGGTGCACGTGATGTTTACACACCCAATGCACTTGTTAGCATTCAGGTTCTCCAGGCTCCGCTGTGTGTTTCTGGGAGTCAGCTCCCCATCTTGGGGTGTGGTGGGGCAGGACTGTTTCCCACTGACATGTGCACTGGTGGGTCAACACTGTCACTGCTTTGTGGAGTCTTGCCCCTCAACCTCCCCTTCCAGGGACGTGCTGGAGATGCCTGACCTGGTGAGGGCTCAGGGTCTTGTGGTCCTAAGGATTCCCACACAGGAAAGCCCTCTTACATGTTAATAGATGCTGCTTATACACCTCCAGTGACGGGGGCTTCCACCCTCCTGCGATGGCTGATATTTTCTTTTCTTTCTTTTTTTTTTTTTGATGTGAACCATTTTTACAGCCTTAATTGAACTTGTTAACAATATTGCTTCGGTTTATTTATTTATTTATTGGTAGCGTAACGTGTGGGATCTTAGCTCCCGACCAGGGATCAAACCCACCTACCCCGCATTGGAAGGTGAAGTCTTAACCCTTGGACCATGAGGGATGTCCCAGCAGGTTTTTTTTTCTCTTGGACTAGCTCTCCCTGTTTGCAAGATCTCTATATTAGCTAAGATCAGACTTTGCGTAACTCATTTCTTCCTTCTGGATCACAAGGAGGCAACAGAATCTGCCTATCAGGACATTCATGGAGGCAGACAGGCCTCTCCTGGCTTAGGAAGGATAGGGATGAAGAGGAGAGGGGTCCAGGTGAAGCAATTAAACCAGCTAGACTTGGTGGGTGAGGGCTGGTGGAAGAAAGTTGTATTCTGGCTGATGCCAGGCTCCTGGCAGGGTGTCTATGGGACTGTTGGCCACTAACTAAGAAAGAGGGCAGGAAGGGAACAAGTTGGACATGTCCAGAAGCACTGTGAGGGAGGTCGGACCACAACCTTGTCCCCTGGGCTTCTCTGAGAAGTGTAATAGCCAGGAAGGGCAATGCCAAGGGTGGGTTCAGGGATGAGGACCCTCCCGCTCTCCGGGGCGTCTGAGTTTCTGCTGTGGTTCTCCCTCACCCCCTGCAGGTACCTATATGGGATGCTTCAGTGATGATGGCCAGGAGCGTACTCTGAAGGGGGCTGTGTTTTTTGACTTGAGAAAGATGACCGTCGCCCACTGCCAGGATGCATGCGCTGAGCGGTAAGTGGGGGCCCTAACGGTCAGCTCCACTGGAAATAAGGCTCAGAGGGAATCCCGGAGAGTGGGAGTTGTGTCCCTGAGGTGGTGCTTCTGCTGCCAGTGGGCTGTTGGAGTGTGGTTAGAGCTCGACGGATCAGATGTAGTTGTCCAAAACAAAGAAGGTTTACTGACGAGATGGCAGGGGATTGTGGAAAGAGCTCTGGGCTCAGTGTCAGGAGACCTGGGGTTCCTGTCCTGAGATTCCAGGACTCATCCTTATCCTGGCCCCAGACCCAGTGGCCGTTCCTGGATCCAGACCTCAGTGCCCCGGGCCAGGCTTGGGACTCACCCCAGGCCCCACTCTGCCTGCAGGTCCTACATCTACGCTGGCTTGGAGGCCGGGGCTGAGTGCTACTGTGGGAACCGACTCCCAGCGATGAGCGTCGGGCCGGAGGAGTGTAACCACGAGTGCAAAGGGGAGAAGAGCTCCGTGTGCGGAGGGGTGGGCCGGCTCTCCGTGTACCGCGTGGAGGAACTGCAGCCCGGCTCCAGGAAGCGTGAGTGCGCCCGCCTCTCCTGAGCTCTGACTGCCCCTGCTGGCTGCCACCTCTGCGTCCACAGCCCTTCATCTAAATTCTGTGGGACGGAAACTGTGCTCTGCCTTCCCTACCACCTTCTCTGGACAGGCTCGTGGCAGGGGGCGAGGTGTTAGGGTCTGCCAAAGATCGCTTGAGATCATGACCAAACCCCATCTTTCCTTGTCCTCTGTAGGAGAGAAAAACCGATCAGGAGGCCCAGAGCCTTGGTCTAGGTGTTTCTCAGACATGCTGTGTGGCCTCCCATCTTTGGGTTCCAGTCTATTTTGTCAAGTGCAGAGGGGCGGACCAGATAGTAAGAATGTCTCCTAGCTATACAACACTTTGAAGTGCTGGTGAAAGTGAAAGCCACTCTGTCATGTCCAGCTCTTTGCGACGCCATGGACTATACAGTCCCTGGAATTCTCCAGACTAGAATACTGGAGTGGGTAGCCTTTCCCTTCTCCAGGGGATCTTTCCAACCCAGGGATCGAGCCCCAGTCTCCCATATTGTAGGTGGATTCTTTACCAACTGAGCTATCAGGGAAGCCCAGGAAGTGCTGGGTAAAACTGAAAAAGTGTTACTGTAAATGCAAAGCTGAACTATCAAGAAAGTAAGGAAATCCCTGGCTCCAGCAGGAACTAGGAATCATGGCGGTGAGATGAAGACAGCCGACGCAGTGCTGGGTCTCCACGGGGGAAGCTGCTGGTCTTGGTGGCCACACGCCTTAGGTTTTAGTGTCCACAGAGGACAGAAAAGGAGGTTTTGAGTCCACCAGGGTAGGGACCTGGATTGAAACTTCTTTGTGAAGTTGGATTCAATTTCACTGAAGTATGTACATCAGTGAAATTTTGGATTTAAAAAAAAAAACAAACACCTGCCAGAGACAGAAAAACTTGTCTGTTTGACCTGAGCTTCAGGTTTGGATTAGAGGAAGGTGCAGAGCAGGTCATCTGTGGCTCCATCTTGAAGGTGCCCTCCTGCCCTAAGTGGCCTGGGACTCTCACCTGAGGAGCTGGGGAGAAGGGTGTGGAATGGGAGTGACAGCCTGTGCCACACCTGAAGTCTAGAGGCAGCTGAGGTTCTGCCAGCAGCATCTCACATCACTGAATTCTCACGGCTCATGCCGCATCCTTACCTCTCAGCATGTATAGGGTGCCTGCTGTATGTCAGGGTCAGAACTGGGTGTGGGGTGAAAAGGGTGACCCAGATGCCGCCTCCCCCCAGGCTGCAGGGAGGTACTCACAGTGGGGCATGGGTTCAATCCCTGATCCGGGAGCTAGGATCCCACATGCTGTGCAGCATGGCAAAAGAAAAAAAAAATCAACAGATTTGTGGAAGGAGGGAGAAGGGGAAAGAGGGAAGGAAGGAGGGAGGGAGGAAGGATGGACACTGTGCCCCGAGGGCTGGCGGGAGTAGCAAGTCAGTTCAGCAGCTTCAGCCAAGTGGTCGCTTGTCAGTGACCCTGGTGAGTAAGGTTCTGAAGTCTGGTCTCTGTCAGGAGCCTGGCTTGACCATAGTCTGTCTGGGCAGTTTACCTTCTCCGATTTGGAATCTCCTCCTCGTGAGTGTAATTCCACCTATTTCAGGATCTGAAGCTGCCATTTCCCCCGGGGTCAGGCCCCAAGAAGGGCAGGCACCGCTTCTCACCAGATCCCCATTTCCTTCCCCGCAGGGAGGACCGTCACGTACCGAGGCTGCTTCCGACTGCCGGAGAACATCACGCATGCCTTCCCCAACTCCCTGGTACAGGCCAACATGACTGTGGAGACGTGCTCCGGATTCTGCTCCCAGAAAGTAAGAGGAATTATGACTTCACAGCTCTGTCCTTTAACCATCCAGCCAGAGTGGTGGTCTCAGGGAGGGGCAGGTGCCTGTGGGGGACTGCAGCTGTCCTTCCTCCTTAGAGCCCTGGTGGGAGCTGAGGAGGGAGGGAGGCAGGCTTTGCAGCAGAGTTGCCGAGGACGCCAGCAGGGAGCCTGCTGATGCTGAGATCCGAGCCTGGGTGGGGGATTGTCAGTGAAGGTTGTAAAACTGAAAGGATCGTGCCTTTCCCGACGTGAGCTCTTGGCACAAGTGTCAGATGTTAAATTGACTTGGTTTGGAAGCCGGAAGCTGCTGGCTTGGGGTTTGGGGAGTGCTGATGGATTTTCTGTTATTGGCACTGACAGCGTTGGGCCAAGAATCCGACTTCAGGGGCTGTAGTCGCTCAAGTCCGTTTGGTCCCTCAGCCAGAGCTGAGGCGTGGAGTGTGACTCTGTGCAAGGGCTGGGCTGAGTACCAAAGGCCATGTGCCTGCACCGCATGTCGGCTCTGGGGTGGAGACATTGATCAAGGCCAGATGGGGTTTGCATGTGGCACGATCGGGGTGGGGTGTGAAGCAGGGCTGGTGAGACCTGCAGGCTGCCCAAAGAACTTGGAGATCTGAGGCTGGAGACCCGAGATCTCCAGACTGGGCCAGATGCTATGGCCCTGAGTGGCAGTAGGCTGGGGCTTGGGGCTCCAAATCCTGGGGTCCACTGGCTTTCATGGCACTGTAACACGTGGCAGTGGAACCGAGCGGGGCTAGGAGACAGGCAGGTCCTGCCCATGAGGGGGATGACGATGGTTATCAACAGTCCTAACCGGTATTCATCATTTATTCCATGCCAGTCTCTGTTCCAACTTCACATGGGTTAACCCACTTAATCCTCTTGACAACCGTATGGGATAGGTGTTCTGAGTAACTGCATTTTGCAGGCGAGGAAACAGAAAGCTTAAGCTTTCTGCCTGAAGCCACACAGCCAGGAAGGGGGAGAGCCAGGAATTGAACTCTGCCTAGTTCCGTAGCCTTCTGGTGCTTTGAAGGGTGCAGGGCGTGGACTTCAGTGAAAGCACGTGGAGTTGGAGGTGAAGACAGTGCCCTCCATGGGCCCCCGCTGCCCAGAAGCCGCCCTGCCTCTGCTCTGTGCTCTCAGCCCTCTTGAGCTGCTTCCCTTGGAGATGGGGGAGACAAAGCCTTTTTCCTACATGCTTTCCTCTTGCACAAGCGCAGCCTTTGAAGTGGCTCTCTTCCATCTCCAGCATGTCCAAAGCCACTGCCAAGGGTGTCTTGGTGTCAGGGCTCCTGAGACACAATGCTGGGAGCCGAGAAGACCATTTTGTTGATTCAGAGACACCTGGACTGGGGCCCCCTTCTCCCCCTCTCCCGCTGGTGGGACCAGAGCCAGTGGAGGTGGCAAGGACACCTGCTCCCACAGCAGGGAAGAAAACCTCCTACTCTGGGCTTCCTTCACACCTGCGGTTCAGAGCGGCTCCCTGGAAAGACCCCCACTGTAATCAGAGGAAGTCAACTGGTCCAGACCTGCTGGCCTCCCGGGTCAACAGATGTACAGGCATCTTCCTGTGTGCTGGGCGCTGGGTTGCAGCCTTCCCCTGCTGGTCAGCTCTGATCCTCCCAGCACTCTGTGAAGGGGGGTAGTCTGACCCCTGCTTGCTGCAGAGCCAGCGCAGGTTTGCAGGAGTGAGAGTTCTCACACACGAGCATGGAGGGACCGGCTTTACATCCCACTCTTATCTGTCTGTCTGTTAGTCGCTCAGTCATGCCCGACTCTTTGCAACCCCATGGACTGCACCCACCCCCCACCCCACTTCCGGGCTCCTCGGTCCATGGGATTTTCCAGACAAGGATACGGGAGTGGTTTGCCATTTCCTTCATATATATATATATATATATAATTTAATTAGTTGATTTATTTATCTTAGCTGCACTGGGTCTTCATTGGTGTGTGCAGGCTTTCCCTAGTTGCGACGAGCAGGGGCTACTCTTCACTGTGGTTTGAGGCCTTCTCATTGCGGTGGCTTCTCTTGTTGCAGAGCACAGGCTCTAGGCGTGCAGGCTCAGTAGTTGCGGCACACAGGCTTAGTTGCTCCGCGGCACGTGGGATCTTCCTGGACCCGTGTCTCCTGCATTGGCAGGCGAATTCTTAACCACTGGACCACAGGGAAGCCTCCCTACAGCCCCCCACTCTTGAGCCCATGCCCCATGCTTTTCATGCTTCTGCCTCTCAGTGTGACATCGGTGGAGGAAGGGGACAGGGGGGTGGGCCGTCAGGAGGAGACAGGAAAAGAAGCAAGAGGGAGGGAGCCGGCAGCCTCACAGCTGTGCGTCTTTGGTGCTTTAAATTATTTTCCATAGATAAGATGCTCACGTGGAACACGGTGAAAGGACACCCAAGGGTGTCCAGGGGAAAGCCTTCCTCTCACTCTCTGTGTTGTCCACCTGTCCTTCCTTGGATGCAGGCGATGGGCCTAACCTCTCCCTCCCACTCTCAGAGAAATTCTATGAATATTCAGGCAGTTGTTCCTTTACAGAGTCAGGATGGCGTCACAAACCCCACAGGTGGTGACGAGCCGCACCCACCACTCTGCCCCGCTCTCCTTCCCTGTGTCTTGCAGATTGCTCCAAATTGGCACAGGAAGCGCTTCCTCACTCTTCTATGCCATTACATGGATGTCCTATCATTTATTTAACAAACACCCCACTGTTAAGCATTTAGGTTGTTTCCAATCTTTTGCTTTTACAAACAAGGTTGCGATGACTATCCTTATAGGGGAGTAGTTCTGTGTTGGTGGTGGATCTGCTGGACACAATTCCTCGGCGGGGCTAGTTCCTTGTTCTGTGAGTAAACTTTGCTGTACTGCCCTGGTCAAAGGCTGTGTTCATTTTATGCACCCCTCCCCGCCCCAGTCTACGTGAGAGAGAAGCAAGGCACCCCTGAGACTCTGCTGTTGGGGAGGATGGTTTCAAAGCCACATCCCAGGTGGATGCCCCGGTGTATGGGGGCACCTTCCCTGGGGCAGCCCGTGAGGGCCCAGACACAGAACTTGAAGCTTTTAATTCTTCAACGCCTCTTTCCAGCCTTTCTTCAGAGGTACTGACACAAATCCAGGTTGCTGCAGTCTCGCATTGGAGCATGTGCCAAAAGAGACCTGCAGGCTCTTGGTACCTTATGCCATTTTGCACCTTAACGCTTCATGCTTCTCCCCTTGAGATGGATTTCGTGGATGGGTTACCTGCTCAGCTCTGGGCAGCGATGCTGCGTATTGTTCAGATAGAACAAGGATGAAGGGGCACCCAGGGTTCTCATAAATGGCCTTTGCCCTCCAGGCGTCAGGATCTGTGCTGAAGGCTTGGCTCCTGTCCTGCCTCCCCTATATCTTTGGATGGGGGGTGGGGCTGTTTTCTTGGGTCCCATTGTTTAGATCCACAGAACGCTGCAGCTGTGAGGAGTAGTCACTATTTCCAGCTTTCAAGTTGAAAGCAGGTCTTGGCAGGACACACTTAGTGGGACAGGGGCCAAACGCATGCGCTGACACTTACCGGGTGGGGGGTGATGCCATTCCCCCCTGAAGAGAGGCTAAGACAGGAAGCAGGGACTCTGGCATACATCAGAGTAAGGTCAGTGCCTGATGGAGATGCAGGAGACTGGGAGGAAGGCTTAGGGAAGAGGACTGCAACTTTTTGGAAGGGTTGTTAGTCGCTCAGTCTTGTCCGACTCTTTGTGACCCTATGGACTGTAGTTTGCCAGGCTCCTCTGTCTATGAGATTTCCCAGGCAACAATACTGGAGTGGGTATCTCCAGGAGACCTTCTCAACCCAGGGACTGAACCCAGGTCTCCTGCACTGCAGGCAGATTCCTTACTGTCTGAGTCACTGGGAAAGCCTTAGAGCTAGCAGATGCTGGGCAGTGTTAAAGGGCAAACGAGGGGTGTGAGGAACGTACATAAAACTCAGCAACACCTGGGCAGGGGTGAGGGGGTTGGGAAAGCAGCCAGCCTGCCCACCCGGGGTGCAGGGCTCCATGGCACCATGTGAAAGGTGGGGCGGGGACAGAGGCCTGCCTCTGAGTCCAGATGTTTGTCAGTTGCTAAGAGGGAGCTATGGACGGTGTGGTGGGGGAGAGGGCGGTATAACTGGTGTGGGCCTCATAGCTGTGGGTAGGATGCTGGGATCCCTTTGGGAGGCAGCAGTCCTCAGGGCCACCCCCAGAGATGCCTTGGCAATACTATGACCTAGGTTTGCCTGTGACCTGGCTCTGGAATTAGGGATTCCAGGTAAGGCGAGGATGATGCTACAGATGTACTTGCAGGTAAAGCCCCCATCTATCTGAGAGAGTGAGCCTTTGGTCCCCAGGGTGTCTGTCCCTCCCCTCTCCCTCGTCCTGCGCTGTGGCTGTGAGTGTGACTTGGACTCAAGCCTTCTGGATGGTCCCCATCAGCTCCCAGTAGGAGCTGGACTAGGACCCCAATCTCACTCTATGGCAGGGCTGCTCACCCTTGCATTTGTTATCATTTGGGTCAGATCATTTGTGTGGGGATCTGTCTATACAGTGTAGGATATTGAGCATCCCTCTACCCTGCTACAGACCAATAGCACCTCCACGCTTAGATGTGACAACCCAGACTGTCCCCAGACTTAGCCAGGGTCCCCTGTGGTGCCCCCATTGAGAACCACTGTCCAGCGGGCCACCTGGAACCTGTTGGCTCAGCCATACCAAGACCCAGCTCACATTCACCATGCATCTGAATCCTGGTGATCGATTATCTTCTGCAACTATTTAGGGAGGATGAAGGAGCAAATTTCACTTCCAGCCCTGAAGTCTGGTAGATGCAGGATCAGTCGGAAGTTGAGGTCTGCAGAGGTCACAGTCCTCTCCTGGATGTGGAGGGTGAGGGAGAAAGGTGAATTGGGGGATTTCTGGCTGTACTTTCCTGCCTGGAGTGCCAAGCACTTCCTCTCCGGAAAGGCCAGCAGC